TATATATATATATATATATAAGCCAACAGTCTATGCATGAAAAAGTGTGTTTCACTCTTTAAAAGTTAAAATTGTGGTATTTTTAGGTAATATCAAAGACTTGGGTGGTGTAAAAGTAAAAAGTAAAGTTTAGGTGTTAGATATGTAAATACATAGGAATTGGGTGCTATGTATGTAAATATCCCAATTAAAAAAGTCATCAACTTTCGATAAGTTAAAAACTTCCATTTACCAGTACTCAATTGGCTGGTGAAACTTTTTGAGCGAGAAAGAAGGTAGAGATTAAAAATTAAAAAAATCATAACAATGGAACAACCAATTAATCTTAGTATAGTCAAGCCCCAAGAGAAGTATAAAAATACAATAAAATATACATGCAAAATTTATCATCATGTCTAATTAATTTTCTCACAATTATCATTCATGAGGAGCAAGCAGCATTCAATTTTATGCTTGAAACCCAAAACAAGATCTTAAGTTATCATTAACATACCAAGGTATTTTTTGCAATAAAAAAAGAAGTGAAAACAAACAAATGAATTAAAGATGCAAAATTTTGAATTTCAAGCGAATAGCTCATAGATTACAAACAAAGAAGTTAGAAAAATAAAAAAAATATTAGAAGGCCAGAAGTTAACCCAAAAGGCATGCAAAGAAAATTAGCATCTCATGTAGAATACGAATATGGATGAACATTCATAAAAACAATACGAAACAGTTAAAAATTAGGCTAGTGATGATTAAAATAAAGACAGTTACTGGAGAAAGCATCATATTAATAATTTAGATGTCTCGTTCTCCTAAAAGCCAGATTTTGGAATTAATCCTTCTTTTCCTGGCTTCACAGTAGAACTAGCAGTTCATTATAATTATATTATAAATTCTGATGCCCTCGCATGCTTCTTACAAAAAACCACACTTCTTCAATAAAATTAGATGGGAAAGCAAGGCCAAACAGTTTCTTTCTTCTGTTCCATTTTATGAAACTACCACTAAGCAAGGTACAAAATTTTCAAAAACTTGGCAAAATTGCTATTATTCGAAGCAACATAATATATGAAATGAAATATATCAGTAGAGAAGTGCTTAACAAAGGTCAAAAAGAAAACTTACAAAATTTAAAATTAAAATAAAAAAGGTTAAAAAAACTCACATAATACTTGATGGGCCGTTAGGCGATCTTGAGGATGGGGGCAAAGCATTTTTCTAATAAGGTCCTTAGCACTATCAGATATTATGGGCCAAGGTTCCGATACAAAATCAATATGGCCCTTCAGAACTGCATCAAATATACCTTGTTGTGTTTCTGTGAAAAAATAAAAAAGAAAATCCTCAGTTTCAGAAATTAGAATGATTCCACAGCTAAACTATGGGGATGATTCACAGTCGTACCGGCCCAAAAAGGAGGCACGCCACTCAACAAAATATATAGTATGACACCGGCGGTCCAGACATCAGCTTCTGGGCCATAGTGCTTGCACAACACCTCAGGAGCTACGTAATATGGGCTCCCTACCACCTCTGTAAAGATCTGGCCTGCAATGGTAGATGCAGATCATGATGATCTAGTTCAAAAAAGAGCTTCATATTTGCAAAAAAGAAACCTAAAGATTCGAAAATAAAGATAATAGACAAATTATATGATATTATAATAAGCTACTGTGCATTGCTTTTGAATATTCCAACTATTTGTCATTGCTCATAAGGCTTTATACTAGGTGAAAATCACGTGCCACTAAGATGCAAGTGTTGGGTTGTAATTGGAGGAGATTAAACTTAACCTCAAACTCTATGTAAACAGGATTGGGAGATTTGTGAGAGCTTGTCTTGTGTCATATGGGGTGTTGGGATCATTTCTAGTGCACTAGACATTTCAGGGACACATCTCGATCGACCCTTAATTATCTTGAGAGCGACCTGGTAGTCATGATCTTATGGTTGGCGGTTTAAGACTCACCAAAATCAGGAGGATCATGCCAAGACATTAGCCTAGGGCATCAAAGAGCTTCATGTTCTGACATCCCTATTTCCACATGAGGAGATCAGAGCCTCAGACTTATCTTTTCGGCACCTTGGCGCTACTTTTCCGGCGTATTGGTGCTGGCTTTCCAACACTTTGACGCTAAGCTCTTTTTTTTAAAGAGCAATTCTCACAAGAAATTAGCACAGCCTTTCTAGCAAATTGACTCTAAGCTATCTGTTTTGAGAGTATTTCCCACAAAGCATTAGCGCCTTGGTGTTGTCTCTCTAATGACTTGGCACTAAGCTCTCTGCCCTAGAGTCCTTGCCCAACGGCACAATGCTACCCCAATTTTAAAATGGGATTTGCCTGGCAGAAAAGAACAAGGACTGGCCCTTAGCCTTGTCCCTATCTTCTTGGGGAATAGAGAAGTGGGTAGTTAATGATTACCCGCGCCTACAAGTTTGTGCTCAAGGAGCCTTGGAAAGTATAAGTCAGGAGCTAGCGCCATAGTGCTGCCTCTCCATTCAAAATTTTAAAATAGTTTTCCCTGCCAGAAAATAGCAGGAAAAGCACGGGCTTGCAGCTGCTGTCCATGAGGAATGGCCGAGAAAGGTGGTTGGCCTTATCACCATTCGAAAGTTTTTTAAGTAGCCACCAAGAAGTTTGCTAGAGGGAAAAATGGAGATGACTATTTATGTCATCCCTTGGGTTGGCTTAGGGTTCTCTTGGCCTCTTAGATCCTTACAGGGCTGCTAGTCCTTCATCTTGGCTGCTTGGTACTTCTTGAACCACTTGGTAGCCGCTAGAAAGGAGAGCTATAGAGTTGAGAGAGGGAGAAAGACATTTAGAGAGAAAAGCAAAAGCTCATCTCTAAGGAGCTTGTACTTGAAGAGGATAGGTTAAGGCAACTTTCTGATCCCGTTCATACACATGCTAAGGAACTTGGTGAGTCAAAGATCGACCTCGACTCCATGATAATATGTATCTCAATTCTCTCCAAATCTTTCCATTTCTAGTAGAGTCCTTATGTTTGTTGTAGATGGCTGGCTCTCAAATTTTATTTATAGAGGAAGCTTCTTAGGATAGGCGGCCACCTCTCTCTCCCTGCAATTCCCTGAAAATTCGAGGCAAAAAATTCCAAGTTCGTTTTGCGCGAAGACACTATCTAGGTAGCACTTGAACACCATCTTCTCGATTACTGCAGCAGCATTGTGACTCGGTCTCCTGAGTTGACCAATTTGTCTAGCTCGTCAGTTTATGACGGATCAGTTCAAGTTCGAACTTAAGGGTTATATACGCTTTGACAATAGATTTCATATAGGTTAAGACATTTCCTTTCGACCCACAATCCCCATAATGTGATACAATGCAACAACCGTGATCTCTTTTACATCATGATTATCCCAGGTGAGACATATAGGATGGAAGCCCAAGTCCCACCATTGAACATGATAAGTCTATAAAATATAAAGAGAGAGAGAGGGAGATAGGAAAAGACAAAAAAAATGCTACTTAGGGTACTAGTTTCGTTTACTAGCACATACATAATTTTGTGCACAAAGAATAGTGGGTGCATTGTTTGGGTTGGACAAGAGTGTACAAGGCTCAGTGTTCCACATGCAGTGTCATGGCGTTGTCCCCTCCTGTATAAGCAAAGAACCCAGTGCCTTGGCACCACATTCGCAGCGCCTCGGTGCTAGCTACCCCAATTCATATCATGTCTATGTATACCTTGTCATGTCATCATAAAAGTTGCGAAGGGGTTCTGAGAATCAGGCCACTCATTTCATTTGCATGCTTGCAAAGAGACCATGTAATGTCGAGATGTGAAGCCTGGAAGAACACTCACAGCAGCAGATAAAGGAGCATTCCAACTCCCCTATATATTGCAAGATTAGCATAGCCACACCGATATCACGCGTAGCTACGTTGAACGGTGTACCAATGCTAAGTAGCGGTGTAGCCATGCTGCGGTCCTTCGACTCCTGCCTTCAGACCACGAAGTGTGCAAAATAATTACGCCGAGTGAACGATGATGACATTACTTACTACGAACACTAGAAGGATTTAGTGTAGAACGGTTAAGTTCAAAAGATGGACTTCTGAGAGAGCAATTTCTCTTGTGAGATCAATAGAGGATTTGGAGTGGTGTTCTTAAAATTTCCAGTGTTGTAGAGAGATGATCTAAGTGGTACAAATCTCTGTACTTTCTTCTTTCACAGTGAATTTTTGGTGTGGTGATACTTCGTGATTTTTTCCCGTTCACAGGCTTTTCCATACTAAATCTTAGTGTGTTTTTCTGTGATTACTTTGTTATGCGTTTTTGTTTGATATTTTGTTTCAGATTTATAGAATCTGTGTGATCATATTTCCTGCGATGTGATTTTGATTGGAAATCGATTGAAGCCCTCGAAGCATATCCGTCCCAACATGTGATATCAGAGTGGGGTTTTATTTACTGAAGAATTTTAATTCGAGTGGGAGCAATGGCCGACAAAGCAAAGTACAATTGGAGAAGTTTAACGGATCGAACCTTGCGTTCTGGAAAATATAAATGAAAGATTTGTTATATCAAAAGAAATTATATTTGTCACTAAATTGAATCACTAAGAGTCTAAAATGATGAGTCTAGAAGAATAGGTCTTGGATCGAACGACCCTAAGTTTGATCCATCTTTCACTTTCTTCATTTGTTGTGTTCAACAAAGTGAATGAAAAATTATGGTGGATCCCATGGCGGAACTAACAAAGATGTATGAAAAATATTTTACTTCAAATAAATTTTTTCTGATGAAGAGATTAGTTAATATGAATATGGTGGAAGGCAGTTTGGTGGCTGAACACCTGAACAATTTCAATATTATGACTGGTTAGTTATGTTTTGTAGGTATCAATTTGATGATGAAATTAAGACACTGTTAATTCTGCCTTCAATGTCGGACAAATGTGATGGATTGATCACAGTGGTTAGTAACTTTTCTGGTAATATGAAGTTGAACTTGAGGACATGGTGGGATTAGTGTCAAATGAAAAAGTTTGCAGAAAGATGACGAATGATGGATCTTAATATTTTGCGTTGAATGTCGAAAACATGGGAAGGAATTTGAACACGAACATAGGTGGAAACAGATTAAAGTACAGAAGAAAAAATTCAGGACATGCAAAGAAAATGATATAAAAGAATGCTGGAACTGCGAAAAAAAAAAGATCATTTCAAGAAAAGATTACAATGCTCTATGGAAGACTAGTGGTGGACGTCAAGATAGAAATCTCTCAACAAATGTTTCTATAGGTGAAATCCAATGTGACTCCTTGATTTTATCTTTAGTCAATATTGAATCTTGGATGGTAGAATCGGTTGCCTCTTTTTATGCATGCCCAACAAATATGTATTAAAAATTACAATCAAAGTGACTTAGGGAATGTTTATTTGAGATATAACAAAGCATACAATATCGTCGAAAAGGGCGATGTGATATCAAGTTGCCTAATGAAATAATCTAAAACCATAGTGAAGTAAGAAATACTCCAGTCTGAAGAGAAATTTAATCTCAGTGAATCAGCTGACAAAGTCAGGGTGCATGACTATTTTTACAAATGATTCTTGAAAGGTGAACAGGTAGCAATGGTGATATCTCGGGGTGGTATTGAAAGTACACTTTACCTAATTAATGAGATGACAAAACATATTCATGTGGTTGGAGCCACGGTTGAAGCAGGTTTTCAGCATTACAGACTTAGCCATATGAGCAAGAAATGTATTAAGTCCCTATTTTAAAAGAACAAGATTCAGGGTTTGAAAACAATAAATTTAGATTTCTGTGAATATTGTGCATATGACAAGAAGAATAAAATTTCTTTCTCCAAACGGGGGTCAATGGTAATGTTAAAGAAACTGGAGTTCGTACATACTGACGTATGGGGTCCTACTTCAGTTTAGTTCATTAGATATTTCAATTTTTTCATCACTTTCATCAATGATCACACCAAAAAAATATGAGTTTAATTTTTAAAGTAAAAATCTGACGTATACGAAATATTTAAGAAGTGGAAGGACATAGTTGAAAATGAGAAAGGTTTGAGACTGAAGTGTATCAGATCAAATAATAAGAGCGAGTATCGTGATCACATGTTTTGAAATTATTGTCCTTTAGAGGAGATCAGATATGAGTTCACTGTTCCAAAAAGTCCACAACAAAATGGAGTAGCTAAGCGCGTGAACATTACCATCACAAAGCGTGCGGGAGTATGAAATTGCATACAAACTTGCCAAGTCAGTTTCAGGTAGAAGCAGTGAATACTATTGTTTATCTGATCAATTGTGGTCCGTCGGTAACTTTGAAAGAAGGCTTATCTAAAGAAGCTTGGATCTCACTTAAAGGTATTTGACTGTTCTGTATATATAGATGTTCATGCAGAGTCCATGAGTAAATTTGATTCGAAATCTGTCAATTGACTTTCATTGGGTATGACTCGAATAAAATTGGGTATAAATTTTGGGACTATCAAAATTAGAAGTCATCGTGAGCATGAATGTTACATTCAATAAAATAGAAATGTACAAGAACAAGAGTAAAATTCAGGATTGCCCGTCAGTTATTTTTGAAGAGTCCAAATATGTTGAGATAGAAGATACTGGTGATTCGGAATATGAAAAATGGCTCAATCAAATGAAACACGTAAAGTCCTTAGTCACCTGCTACTGATGTTTGAAGATCCATCAGAATCTAGAGACTAACACAGAGGTATTCTCATTTTTTACACTTTGATGCTAATTGATAGTAGTGAATCAGAGTATTACGAGTTCACTCATTTTGAAGATTCAAGTGAGTGAGAATTTGTCCTGAACGATGAAATGCGGTGACTAATGTCAAATCAAACTTAGAATTTGGTTGCATTATTAGATGCAAAAAAGCACTACAAAAAAAGTCAGTCTATAAGTTGAAAGAAGAATTAGTTTGTAGCAGACGCTGCAAGACAATGTTTTTTATAAATAAGTTTTAACAGAAGGAAAGAGTA